CTGCTTCTCTGTCTCTCTTCCTTTCTCTTCGTCTCTCTGCTTCTCGCGTCTCACTTTGTTTGCTAATGAGCCAATTTAGTTGCATTGAACGCAATTGCATGGGGCGTGTGTGTCTGGGCCACGCACTTGAAACTTGGCCAAATGCTTTTTGCACAGGCTGAGGCGCTTTGCTTTGAAATGCTAAGTGGATGCGGCCTTTGGAAAATGGATGCCTGGAACAACAGGCTGTGGGCGAAGTATAATGCAATGGACATGGAATGGAGTGGGTAGCAAAGCAGCTGCATGGTATTGAAGTTCTGATGAACAGTAAGTGGAACGGGTAAACCACAAAGCACACAGGCACGGCACAAAACAAGGTAAACCTTGGTAGGCCTCCCATAAGAATAGGTATAATATTAATGGCACACGCAGCATTTTTGTATAACGTGTACAGAGTAAAATGTTTTAAAAATTTGGCAAATTGCTGCGCAACAGAATTCCCCTATAATTCTAATTCCCCCTTTATTACAATTCCCCCCCTTTATTTTCTATGCTCCCTCCTTTATGTCTTCTTGTGTGTAAAGTTCAACAAATACTTGCGACAGGCGTCCAGTGTGTGACGCTGTAGGAAGTTCTCCTGATTGAAGTACTTGCCACACTGGCCGCACTGATGGTCCCAGGTGTGATGTCCCTTGGTGCGCTGATGCGAACGCAAGTTTGAGCTGCCAAAAGAAAATCCCAACTGTCACAGAAATCAGCCCAAGAACTGTATTATAATACCCACCGATCGGCGAATGATTTCAGGCACTTTGGCTCTGGGCAGACGTATGGACGCTCGCCCGTGTGTGTGCGCTGGTGGGCCACCAGCATCCACGAGTGGTTGAAGACTTTGTCGCAATCGGTGCACGGAAACTGTTCTCCCTTCTGCTTGGTGCGTCGTGTAATTCGTTTGGTTTGCGGTGGATCGTCGTTGGCCGAAGGCTGCTGTGGGTCCTGCTTGGGACCCTGCTTGTCCTTGAGATAGACCCGCTTGTCGCCCTTGGTTACCTTGATGTAGCCGATTTTGGCGCCGTTCTTCTTCTTGCCTGGCTCTTGGCTCTGGCCCGGCTTTTCCATCTCCCAGACGGTGTGGCTGAACTCCCCGTTCTCGTTGGCGTCCTCCGGCTGCAGGTCCATCAGCTGGCGACCGTTGCGCTCCTCCCACTGGCGACGCACCAGGATGGGTATATCGTCGCTCTTGAGCCAGTCGTCGCTCGGCGAACGGTTGCCATAGTGGAAGGTGAGCTCCGCTTTATTTTCTTTATTGGCCACGCTCTCAATCGGCTTAGCAGCTGCAGCAGTGTCAGCTTCTTCATCAAGTTTTAGCATTGCTTCCAGCTTGGTTATATCATAGGCACGGGCTAGAAATTCGCGTTAGTTGGGAAGTTGCTATGAGTTGGGAAGTGCAGTCTCTGGCTCACCTTCTTTGCGTTTTTGCAAGCGTTCCTCTTTGCTCAGGAAAAGTCTCGGCATTTTGAAATAAAACTCACAGCTCAAAAAGAAAAAAAAATTTTAATTGAATTTGTTCTCCTTTTTCTTAAATGAACTTCACAGCTTGAAACTACTTTTTGCACTGATTTATTTAGCTACTTTGATATGTAATGTCAAAGGTGTTTTTTTCTGGGCCTATTATGACTTGACGCTTTTGAGCTGTGTGATTTTTTATGCCGTATCATCATAGAGCACAAGGTTGCATTTCATATAACAGTTTTACAGTTATATTTTCAGTCGTTATTCGATTTTTAAATCGTTATTTTCTTGCAGCGCATGAGATTTGATCGGTCATCTCCCAATCGGAACTCAACCCAAATTTTTCCTTCCATCTTTTCCAATAATCTGTCCTGGTGCTCGTCGATTTCTGCCCTTCGTTCTTCACACTCTTTCTGTAACGATGGATGGGTGTCATTCTCGCCGTTACAGTTGGCCCTTGGTATGAAACGAAATGCATCACGTTACGCTCTGACTGGGTGTTGCTTTTAATCTGTAATCATTTAAAGCCATAAAATAAATATTTGTAAACAAAAAACCGCAAAACGCATTGTCGCAGCCCTGGTATAAGCACACCACCTGCTGCCTTACAACACTGCTTGGCCGCGTGAAGCAACAACAAAACAAAATTTGTGGCAGCGCCATTGCCCGAGTGCCTCGCGCCACCCGTTTGAGTTGCGTTAGAAAATACAAAAATAAACCAAAATTAATACCGATACCGATCTGTTGCGAGTTTCTTAACTAATTTGTGCGAATCAATGCCGGATGTGCTAACACACATTGAGCAGTTCGAAGCAACACTCGCGAAGTACACCGAAATTAACGAAAAAATGAGTCGTAAGCGCAACATTGCCTGGCGCGCAGAGTCTGTAAGCGCCGCAGTGGCTGAGACACAAGCTGCGCAATACACTGATTAAATCTATGGTCTTCGCTTCGAAGGCCTTCGATTGTCTCCAGGCCAAGGTACATAGGTGGCAAATACCAAAGATTTTTCTTATTGAAGCAAAGCTCCCTATGGTTCGTTTTCTCTTTAAGCGTTGCTTACTGTGCGCCTCACTTTGTGTACAAACGTTTTTCCACATACATAAATATGTACATGTATATGCATGTATGTACCTAAATGTCCATGCATGTCCGTGCATGTCCACAGTGGCGGCTCTCAAAAAATGTTGCCCACTCTCAGCTCTTCTTTTGCGCTTTAGTATTTGAGAGTATTATGACGCATTATTGTCAGCTTATTTGTTACAAATCTACACATTGAAGCATCCCGTTACGGTCGCGCGGGGTGCTGGTACTTTCATTCTCTTTTGGGCTTGCCTTCGCCTGTGACTGCGGCTAGGCTGCCTACCTAAAATCCTACAACAAATACACGCGCAGTCGTTGGCGTGGCGCGGTTGGCCTTCGCTTTCGGGTCTTATTCGTACTCACAACTGCGTTTGTTGTTGGGTTTTGCGTTTGTGTTAAGCAAAAAAAAAGCACAGAAAAGAGAGAGAGAGAGAGAGAGAGGGAGAGGCTTTTCTGTTTTCGAACCCATGCATAGGCAAAACTCCTCTCCATAAATATAAGAGCCTGTATCTGACGTGTTTTTCCTTCACTTGATGGCTAATAAAATGAAAAGTCTCCCCTTTAAAAATTGCTGTGCATTGACCCCTCAGGAGTGATTACTAGCGAGAAGGAATCAATATTCCAGTCAGCTTGAAGTGCACAGACTTGAAGCTTAAAGACATTTCAGGAGGCGGGCGTTCAGTCAACGCTTTCATCGAGCCACTCAAGACGAAACAACTCAAACAATTTTCTTGTTAACATTTTTGCACACGTTAGACAGGAGGAGGCGGAGGCGGAGGCGGAGTCGGAGGCGGAGGCGGAGGCAGTAGCCAGGCAATATCCCAAGAACGAATGTGTTGAGCAATAAAATTAGTTGGCTGGGATGTGTGGCTGTGTCTGTGAGTGCAGAACATGCAAAGACGTTTTGCAATTTGCCTGTAATCCTGTGACCAGCCCCCCCACAGGACTCTACCACTACCATCCCACCACCACCCTGGACTCTCTTTAAGCATTCGGATGCGGCTGTTCCGCTGCTTCGGATACGGATTCTGCTCGGGAAGAGCTCCTTTAGTAAGCACTTAAGACCCAACTCTATTGTGAAGGAAGTTTTCAATTGTTTGGCAGCTCTCCGTTTATTTATTTGCATTTTTTATTTGCCGTTTTTGAGTGTGTTTTGTAATAAAAGCCGGAAGAGAAAAACATTTATGTAGTCACCCACCCCCACCCCCACCCCCAACCGACAGCTACAGCAGCTCCAGCGCAATTTTCAACAGCTTTATTGCATTTATTTGGCACTTTATTACCGCCAGCTCGTTGTTGTTTCGGCCGTTAAATGGCCAAAAAGGACCACAAAATATTGGCCGAGCAAATTACTTGGGTCATTTCGGAGTGCATCACTTCTGCGCGTCTACAGTGCGTTTCATAAAAGTGCTGCAGATCGATGCATTGCAAAAAAAAAAACGTGAAAATTGTCGGAGAAATTTGTTGGGTATTTGTACTTGATTTAAATGTTAAACTAATGTTGGTAAAGTGCAAAAATATATAAATCCAAGAACAAATGCAACGCTCTCTCGTTGAATCAGGTTTATGCGGGAATTTCTTCATTCATCGAACATTTGCTGAACATTTTTCAGGCACTCCTTTATGAAACGCACAAAAGAAAGCTTAAACATTAATTCATTTTGCAATGAGCACAATTTTGCTCTGCTCGCATCTCCGTTTCCATCTCGTACTTCATGTACAAATGACATTTTTCATAAACTTATATTTGCCATACCAATAATACACACACACACACACACACACACACACACACACACACACACACACACAGGGAGAGTGATGTTCGTATCTTTGTCTAAGGACAAAATCACATAAATGCTTGCGACTGCCAAACAAATGCCAACATAAAAGGAGCACTGCAAAATGCCATTGAGAAAGGAGCTTTGCCGGGCTGCCTGTTTATTTGTGCATGTCAGTTGGACCATTAAAAATCTATTTCAAGTACACAGAGGCACAGTCGCAATGCATCGAAATTGTACTTTATTGCAGCTGGAAAAACATTTTATTGCAGCTCTCGGGGGCAGCCTCCAAAGCCAGTAATGCTCGTGTTGAACTGCAAATTAAATATGCATGCACCCAAACAATAGTCGTATGACAAATGAGATTTCCGGCTTTGCTTTGCTGCCATTTTCTTTCAGCTTTCAGCCACAACAATGGGTGTCCAAATGAGCTGCCGGGCCACACGACAAACATAATTAGCTGGGGCTTAGGATGTGACTTTGTGACGGCTTAAAAATGTTGGATAAAATGTGAACTACCACTTGAAGTCCTTTCATTAAAGCGGAGCTGTTCTTTTCTTTCTGCCAAACATGACTAACTATCTTCGGCTCCCTGATGACATCAAACTCATCAACATCATCCTCAAGTGCCAGCCCAAGGATATGTCTGCGCCAATCGTTTCTTTAAGCGCAAGTCAGGCCACGTAGAGCTTGCCATGCGGCGAAGGTAATCCAAGCTGAAACGAAGGCTGTGCGGATACCAGAGGGACCAATGCCTAAGATTGCATTCAAATTTTCGTCATCAACATATAAATGAAGCATTGGAATGGCAGTTGTCAATCCCCTGGATGACGCAGTATCCTGCTCAAAAACGAGTCACGCCGAGGCCAATCAACATGGGCTAGATTTGGCATGTCCTTTGTGTAAAAGGATGCGTGCGCATGGCACAAGACAATTCACAGTTTTCCCATTTTCCCATTTTCCCATTTAAAATGCAATTATTTTTGTGTGTTTGTGTCTGTTTTGGCCCTGGATAAGGATAAGGATCTGCATTTGCATATTGCATGCGCCTAGAATTTTTCTTTGACATCAAATATATGATGAATAAATGCCTGGACATTGGCCGTCATCAACAACTCGTATGCAACAAAATGAATAACTGAGCAAATAAAATTTCATAATTTAATCAAAAATCTACCAAAGTTGCGACCACACAGCCAAATCCCACAGCGACGTGGCGCCTCGGTTCGCCTTCAGGCGTTTGGCAATTAAATTTGCATGCCACAAAAAAAGTGTCAAAGTCCATTGTCCTTTGCCATTTCCATTTCCATTTCCATTTCCATTTCCGGTTATTTACTGAAGAAAAACACAATTGTTTGCTGCATTTGCGGCCTAACCACCAGCCCGACCAGGCCTGTCCAACCTTTTCTAATCCAGCCACGACCTCGAGGCTGGGAGCATAAACAAACTGCGACGGAGGCAAATATAACTTTATTTTCACAGTGCTCTTTGCGTGTGTGTGTGTGGAGAAAATTTGATAATTTGTGCAAAAGTTGGCACTGCATTTGTCCGGGTTCCAGGACTACGTGTCCGGCATAAACAAGTGGCGCAGACAGGGAAAGAAGTTTGCTGCTGACCTGTTGGCACTCCTGCACACTTTAATGAGTGTGTAATTCGCTATGTTTAGTCGGAACATGCGATAATCTGATCATTAAAGCAGGATCTTGCGCCTGAAAATAGGCAGAAACAAAGTAGCAGCAACCCACACGCTTGCCACATATTTTGTTTTAGTTTATAAATTCAATTTGAAGCTTTTGCTGAAGCAAATTTGCCAACACGTATCTCCTTTATGGGTCTATTACTTGGGCAGAGAACGGAGCAAGCAGCGCAGCAAAGAGGAACGCAGAGCAAGCAGTACACAGCACGGCGCAAGCAGTACAGAGAGCGAAGCAAGCAGGCCAGTCTGGGGCCCGCAAATTTGTTCAACGAAATTGTGCCCATAAATAAAATATGGCATCCAAGCAACCATCCGACCTGACCAGTGCAACACTCGCTATCTTTGTGGCTAGTCCATGAAAATGGCTTTGTCGGTTGGTTCGTAGATTTTTGCTAGCCATTGTCACATGACAAATGCTCGTTGCTTCTGTTGGCTACTCAACGATCCATTTGTATGCGCTCCGTGTTGCCACCGATAACTCATAGCTGGCACGTACCAAAATTTATTTGTTCAAGTTTGTTTGCTTAGCTCATT